AATCTAATGTATAAGGTTTTGGGGGGGATTTTTTTTTTTTTTTTTGAGATGTTTACCTTCTGCTCTCTAGTTGCTAGTTCAGGCCACTACCTTTTTGTTTGTTTTTAATGTATCTTAATCTCCAGGTGATCCGCGATGTGATTGGTGTGCATATGGAAGAACTCAGCAATCAGTGGCAGGAAGAGAATAGATTGGATAATGCAGAGATATGTGAAGGAGGGAAGTCAAAATCTTCAGGAAGGTATGTCACAATTGGCAAATTCCTGGGGCATGGCAGCAGCCCAATAGTCTGTAATGTTACCCTGTTACCTCTTTCTAACAGGGCACATACCAACCTTGGCTGAGACATACGCACAGTTTATTTTAGACTAATTCTGTTAGGCTCTTGCTTGAGAAGCTCTTTCTGCGTGAAGGATGGGGAAAATTTAATTACTAACTTTTTCAGAGGTAAGGAGGTAAGTTGCAAGTGATCCAGGTGAACAGGTGGTTTCTGATGGAGCTGAGGACTGAATAGTGCTCCTTCTGTGTCCAAATGTGTATGTATGTATGCGATAGCTGGGGACAGAAGGACACTTGAAAATACAAGTACACAATTTCTTCCCCTTCCTTATCGCATGACAGGAAATGCTATGGTAGATAGAGAATACCTCAGAGAAAACATTTTCTCTAACTTACTAACTATAGGGTCCCTTTACAGTTCTTAATCATTGTGAATGCTGCTGTGCTAACTAGGCATGTGTTTTATGTAAACATATTTCTTCTTGTGTCAAGTAACACTGCACAATCTTTAAAACATTTGTTGCTGAAATAAAAATGAAATCATGACCTAGTGATAGTCTACTTGTGCTGCTTCTTCAGATCTTTAAGATGAAAACATTTTTGAAACAGACTAAAAGTTTTCAGCATTAAAATGAAGGTGAATGATGACAAGGCCACAGAGATCAGGCTTACTGGGTTTTCCAACTGTAGGTGGCAGCTTAAGGGAGGGAGTTACAGATTTAAAGCAAAACAGAGTGAATCTCCTACTGTCTCCTGTTTCATGAGCACAGGTGGTACGACTGAGGGGCAGTGGTAAGAAATAACTGGATTAAACAGTGTGCAGAGATGCACACATACAAGAGCATGGACTGTGGGCCTCTTCTGGGAGTATTGCATTTCTTAGGGAGATAGGCTTAATAAAAGATGTATCCTCTGACTTGGAGTATTAGCAGGTCATTATATTACAAAACTGGTACTGAAAAAAAGAGTCTGTGAAGCTATTTTTATTGAATAAAACCAATAACCTTTTTTTCAGAAAGGAGGACAGGCGGTCAGCATCAGTGGACTCACGGCAGTCTGGAGGAAGCTGTAAGGATACTGAACGCACCAGACACAGGAGAGAGAGCAGCAGGAGTCCAAATAAACGAAAAAGGAGTCGCGAAAGAGGCAAAGACAGAGATTCTTGGAGAAAAAGAGAAAGGTGAGCATAAATAGTGACAGCTGACTCTACCTCTGAATTGGTACAGCCATAGCCATTGTCTATGAAAACTTAGACTAATTCTCTGCACTATCTAGTCCAATTAAAAAGCTAGGCTAATCTCATGTACAGTATAACAAGCCAGTGGCATGAGGCTACTAACACTGAACAGAAGTCGCTGTGAGATCATAAAATGTGATCTAGACTTCAGTATTTACTCACATCAGAAAGGTGATGCTTTCAACAGCACACTGCAGGATTAGCACAGTACTGTCACAGGCTATTTTACTTCTTGATCGACACAGGCATCATCATCATATGCATAGGGGGACATACTGTCCATTTAACCAATGAAGGGTGCTTGTCATGTCTAATCCTGATTTCTGCTCTAGTTTGCACTGGGAATAAACAGGATTTTTTTTTTCACTAATATCACAGAACAATAGAATCATTTAGGTTGGGAAGGACCTTTAAGATCATCAAGTCCAACCGTTAACCTAGCACTGCCAAGTCCAACCACTAAGCCATGTCCCTAAGCACCACATCTGCACGTCTTTTAAATACCTCCAGGGATGGTGACTCAAGCACTTCCCTGGGCAGCGGTGTTGGACAAGCCTTTCGGTGAAGAATTTTTTTCCTAATATCCAATCTAAACCTCCCCTGGTGCAACTTCAGGCCATTTCTCTTGTCCTATCGCTTGTTAATTGGGAGAAGAAACTGGCACCCACCTTTTTTCAGGCTTCTTTATCTCCAGACTAAACCCCACTTCCCTCAGCTGCTCCTCATAAGACTTGTGCTCTAGACCCTTCACTACTTCATTGCTCTTCAGACACGCTCCAGCAGCTCAATGTCTTCCTTGTAGTGAGAAGCCCAAAACTGAACACAGCACTCGAGGTGCAGCCTCACCAGAGCTGAGTACAGGGGGATGATCACTTCCCTACTCCTGCTGGCCACACTATTTCTGATACAAGCCAGGATGCTGTTGGCCTTGGTGGCCACCTGGGCACACTGCTGGCTCATGTTCAGTAGTATAACAGTATATACATACAATCACTTGTCTAGCTTTTCCGTGATAGATGCTTCAAAACAATGCTGTTGCTCTTCAGTTCTGAACATATTTTTAGGCAAAAGAAAACAATATGATCAACAAGGGTGCATTTGCATCTGCAAGACCAAGGATGTTTGAGCAAAGACAGGCTGTTGTTAGGGAAAAAAAGCTCTAGGTAACTGCATGGATGGGAGTGCTTGTTTGTCTCAAAACTGGCTTCATTACACAGTGATGCTATTCATCCTAAACTAATTGCCACTATAGCACTGCATGACAAGACTTTGATTAAACCAGCATGGGAAATAAAATGTCTTAAAGTAAAGTAGTTTACTTTCTTTCCTTAGAAGAGAACATGATTACATAAAAAAGCTCTAGGTAACTGCATGGATGGGAGTGCTTGTTTGTCTCAAAACTGGCTTCATTACACAGTGATGCTATTCATCCTAAACTAATTGCCACTATAGCACTGCATGACAAGACTTTGATTAAACCAGCATGGGAAATAAAATGTCTTAAAGTAAAGTAGTTTACTTTCTTTCCTTAGAAGAGAACATGATTACATTTAATTAGAGCTTTTCATTGCTCATGTCTTTCCCCCCCCACCCCTTCAAATTCTGTCAGTCTGAGCCTAACAGCACACACAATGTTTGTGTTTTTGTTTCAGGGATGAAGACAAATACCACAGCCATAAAAGAAGAAAGTAGAACAAGAACCTAATTACTTTGTTTGTCAGATGTTCAAAAAAATCACTTGCACAGGAACTATCATAACTGCTGTTGTGCCAGGGACAGTAATGCTGTGTATGTAATACTGGTGTTGCATCACAGCCGTGCTTGGAGATGATCATTAATGGATATAGAACAGAGCTAATCCCTGGAGTCTAGGATCAGCTACAAATGGAACAGACATGAAGAAAGCTCTCCTCCTACCCTCCTCCTACCCTCCCACCTGACACTGTCACCTCTGGGAACAGTGTTCCAGAAAGACAGTGCTCACTGTTTAGTTACAGCATGTACCAGAGGTGAGAGGGCAGATTTCAGAGTTCTCCAACAGGCTAAAAGATCTTCAACTGCAGCTAGTGGTAAAAGGACAGTAACAGGAAAGTTACTGTTCCCAAGCTCATGCTCAAAGAAATTCAGGACCAACATCATTTGGCAAAGATGATGAGACTGTAGCTCTCCACAGAAACCAGTGGGGAGGTACTGAGCACACTTGTAATGTTACTGATAGCCGTTTTCAAACACTGGGTGCATACCCATTTCCTTCCAGAAATAACTAGGAGGAGTTTTCATCCTATAGACTAACATATAAGTATTAGTGACAGAGGTTGATAAAACAATAACACTTCAGACATGCAGGTACTTAATAAGGGTGTGCAGAAGCATTCCACTTGACTTCAGTGATATTTTCATTATATCAATTTCTAATCCTCTTAATTCCTCATACAATGTGCTACAGCACAATCAGTCATCATCAGTTGAGTTTGTTACTTCAACAAAGTAAGCAACTATAAAAAGATCCATCTTTCCTACAATACTTTCTTCTGTTTGGTTGAGGTGCCAGGAGAGGGCACTCCATATGCTCCTGGTTTTGGCCTACTCTGGTACTGGAATCTTTCCAGTTTTACTGTAGCCATTAGTATGTTGTCTCTTGTCTCAATTGTTTCTGCAATTAAGTGTGATTATCTGTCACTAAATACTTAGTCTAGTTCTGATTTAGACTTCTGTACCTACTACAGCTGTTCAACTCAAAACCAAACTGAACCGTCAGGCATTCCTCACCTATGTGACAAATGCAGTAGCTTTTCCTGTCAGAAACCAAAATGTATTTTAAAACAGAGCCTTAATTAGACAAGTGCATCTATGAATGGAAAAGGATATCTAAGTTCTGAAAGGGTCCTACTTAGAGGGAAAACAATATGGAACCATGGCAGTCCTTTTTTGCGTTGACATTTCTTCTACCAGCTCAGCCAAAGGGTTCTCATGAAATTCTCTTGAGTAAGGCCTGGTCAAGCTATTCATTTAATAGAGCTTGTTCATGCAGACAAGGTTGTCAAAAACAAGCAGTACTTGTGTAAGAGTCAAAGTCAGTGCTATCCAGAAGCATAGTAAGAAATGCACCAATTAGACCTGTCTACTCTTCTCTAAATTTATTTGTGTTTTACTTCTTTTCTTACAATCACATGTGAAGTATAGGTAGGAAGATCCATAACAAAATACATTTTACTCAATATAAACAAATGAATGAAGATATCACTCCCTAGGATCAGTGAGCATCAGTATTTGAGCAGCAGGAGAACTGTGTAACTGTGTAGTCAATTAACATCCACCAAAGGGCCATTTCAACAGCAGGATAAAGAAAAGGAAGTGCCAGAGAAGAGGATCATTTTGTAATTTAATGTGCAAATAACGGTCCTTTGAACAGAAACTGTCTGGCACATATTTATTCCTTCCTCCCCCCCGTCCCCCTCTCACCTGTGCTGAAGAGTAAGGTTGATCAAAGCAGTGTTGAGGGCTGGGTCAGAAAGTTTCTGAGCAGCACCATGCCAGTTTGTTGGTTGCTGAAAAGGAATAAACCAAATGTTTTAGAACAACACTAACATGGTAAGTCCTGGCATGGTGGGCAAGATACAATTGAGGGTTATGTTAATAGTAAGCAAGAGTACTATTATTAAAAAGTAGGTCTTACTAAAAATTGTCAGTCTGGTAACTAATAACAAAACCAAGCCAGTTCATTTGTGGACTTGTGTGTTTTTGAGCTCCCACGTACACAGAGCTGGTAGCAATTAAGGCAAAGACCAATTCCATATAGATGGTAGGAAGGGTCAGTGTCTGTCTGCAAGTGTGCCACATAGGCAGTAGTCAAAGGACAAGCCTGGTGCAGATCTTTTAAAATGGTTTAAAGTGCATTTTGTGTGACCTGTGTGTGACTATGGATAAAATGAGTGGGAGTTTATCCACTGAGAGCTGGATTGAAGACATCATTGTCATTTTCATACATTCCTAATGCTAATTCTAGTGGAAATATATGCAGTATCTTGATGGATCCTTTCCTTCATCTGCTAAAAGGTTACATGATTTTGACATTGAATTTTGTGGGCACAAGACTTCACATAACCAATCCAAGTTTATTAGAGATGATGTTTTCACCTGTAGCAGTTAGCATGAGTTAGGCCCTGTTAGGAGTGCTGTTAGCACCATCCTGTGAATTTCAAGTTTTGGTGTTGTAAAAGTTGACAAAAACACATCGGCCATCTGTCTAAAGCAAGAGAACAGTGTTGGTGTGCTCAAGAAAAAAGGTAGCCAAATGATGCAAATACCCTGTTGATTGTCATGAAGTGCAGGTGTCCAGAAGCATTCAGAACAAGCAGGCTGGAAGCACCAACGATGGTGACAGCGCATCAGAAAGTGGCAGCACAATTTGAATGGACCCATCATCAACAGGCTGTTCTCCACCCAGTCCTATAAGAAGGACACCTAATAATATTGGGGGTAACCAGAGTACAAAAAACCCAAAAAACCAAACCAAAACCCAAAATACCACTCTGGTTGAAGCAAGGGGGAACCTTCTGGCCCTACATCAGCATTTAGGACCATCTTGTCAACACCCAGAGCACTGGAGAGTACCCAGGGGACCTCAAAATCCTGCACCAGAACCATGCAGAGCACGGCTGCTACTGGTACTGCTGCGTTGACCTGCCTGGCTTTTCTCCTGGACTGCCTTACAGAAAAGGGAAGTCATGCAATCCATAAATTGCATATAGCTAGGATTAAAGTGTTTTGGGATCCAAATCCACTTCATACTGCCACTTGATCTTCACTGATTGAAAGGTGAGCATATGACATAGAGGCTCATCTAACACAGCCAACAGATCATCTAAGATCCTTCAAGTCCTCAGAAACAACAGAGATTTTCAACTCCAGATTCTATAGTACCTACAATATATATATATACACACACACATATATTATACCATTGAGGTGACTTTGCAGTCCTACTGATCCCACCTGCCCCAGAGCGCACCGTATGCTCTTTAGCAGTAAGACCTTTGATACCACACTAATAAGGTGCTGCAAATAATTACCTTGCCTTGATACATTGAGAGATGGGTCATTCACAGAGGTTCATGCTTTGCTAACAAACTACTGGATGAAGTCAAGAGGTGGGAATGGGGTTGCCTCTTCATTATGCAGCAAGCCAAAAATGACACAACAGCACAGAAAAGACCTGAGCACAGCCATCGTCGATAGCAAACCAGATAGCTAGGCTGTGAGTTTTTGCTTAACCTTCAAACCTGCCATGAAGAACTGCGTGAGTTTGTGGCTTACTGACAATAAACTATAAATCAATCTCAGAGTGAACAGAAAGAGAAACAGAGCAGACTAGAAGTATGCCCACAAGCACCCCAACTTGGTACAAATACCAAAGTAGGATGAACTATTCAGGTGGGACTATGTCCTACCTTTGTCCATTATATCCACTGAAGGCAACACACACAAAACCATTGCAGGAAGGACAATTTGCCATAGCTAATACCACAGCTATTGAAGAGGCAAACCGTTTAAGACCAAGTACATACTAAATGTTTTCTCAAGAAAATTTCTAGGGAGAAGTAATTCAGGAGAAACACGATAGCAACTTCAGACTTCAAGTGGGAATTCCCAGCTTCTCTCTGATTTATGATCTATGGTAAAAGAGCAGCCCAGAAGACGCTGTTGGTTCCAGTATCAGTAATATGCAGATGATACAAACCTGTACGTAATTGCTTCCTACATGGAAAATTATACCACCAGGTAGCACTTCAATATTTCAAAGGAAGATGGATAAATAATTTATCATTTAACAGTTCAAAACCCGATGTTGACCGCTTACCAAGAAATAACTATGTACGCTTTTGATTTAACCTTAGTTAACCTTTAGTCCTGTCATTATGGCTATACCCAAAGTGAAGATAGATTCTTCTGAAATCAAAGGTTTATGGAGAACCCAGGGGAGATCCACACATTAAAATTCCACACACGGATTTTTACGTACGCTTGTTCTTTAATTTTGTGGAGGAATGCTTCAGTTTTCTCCTCTGGTATCTCTCCGTCGATACTGGCCAAATAGGAGTAGAGGAATGAGAATGTTCCGAAGGGAATGCGAGCCGCTCCACCTTCTGGGTCCCTTGTTAAGATTTCACAGGCATGTTTCATTGAACCCAGTAAGGACTGTGGGGGGGTTGGTCAAGAAATGAGAGGAACAGTATCAGAGCCATGAACCTCCTTTGTATACCATGACCAAATCCATACTGTAAGGCCACTAAAAGTAAGTGTAAATGAGATAAAGGCTTTATCATCGTCACCTAGCTTTCAACCCCAAATTTACCCTCCAGTGCAGGTGCAGGGACAGAAACAATAATGAAGTTCTAGTAGAAACAGGGGTAAAAAATACCAGAATCCTGTGATGTTTAAAGATTGCCCAGGGCAGTCTAAGCACTGTTGTGATGTTTAAAGATTGCCCAGGGCAGTCTGAGCACTCTCTCCAGTATGGCCAAATTGCTCTATTCTGCTGCTGTAAAAGCTCAAACATCACTATACCTAGCTATATGTACGTATATGTGTGTATATGTATTACTTCAATAGATCTAAGTGAATTCTCAGCAGCAGTTAGACATATCTACCCAGAAAATTCATACGGTTTAGATTATTTTTTATTATGACATTATATGATACTAATTTTTAGGAGTGTTGATATTTACTACCTTCCTTACTTGTATCCAAGTTCCATTTTAGTAGTCAGTAGAAAACGCACTGAGGCAAAAAGCATTTGAAGAATGTTTCAGTTTAGTCAAAGCCAAATAACATCTGAGTTCCCGTTAGAACAAGCATGCATCAAAATATTAATTCCAAATATACTTGTAAAAAAAAAAAATCCTTTATTCAATACAATGTCTATAATCTGGTGCCTTATCCATGCTGAACTACATGGGGAAACACGGAAAAATTCAGCAAGGAGCTTCACTGAATCAGAGACTGGTTAGATGCCATTAAAACAATGAAACAAACAAAGAAAAAAAAACACATGCAGGCCTTTTTTAACCCAAGTAGTAATATTTTTGCTATAACTTTTTCAAAATTTATCCTTACCTCTTCATTAATAAGCAAGCAATGACTTTTTACAAAGCAAGTATTTCCTAACAGTAGAACAGCAATATTTAAGATAAATGCAGTATCTGTTCAAGATCTAGAACACAGGCCAGAGAACTGTAACTTTATAATCTCTATAGTTTTACTTAATGTCGTTCTTCCCCGGGAGGCCTCTGTGGGGAAGGGGAGGCAGCTGCCCACCCGATGGCAACAGACTCAGCATGGGCTCATGTTGGGTCCCCCATGACTGCCATTCCTGCTTCTGCAGCTACGAGCTGCCACTTGCTCCCTCTCACAGTGCAGCAAAGTTATTCACATCGATTTCCCCACCTTTCAAACGCAGTTTAGCAGGCTACTTCTCTAGTCAGTTCTCCAAGGCTGTAAAAACACATCAGTGCTTTACAGAAAGATACTTCAGGTGACTGGTGTTTCTAACCAACTCACACTTAGAATCACAGAATGGTTTGGGTTGGAAGGCACCTCAAAGACCATCTAGTTCCAACCCCCCTGCCATGGGCAGGGACACCCTCCACTAGACCAGGTTACCCAAAGCCCCATCCAGCCTGGCCTTGAACACTGCCAGGGAGGGGGCAGCCACAACCTCTCTGGGCAACCTGTTCCAGTGCCTCACCACCCTCACAGTGAAGAACTAATGTCTAATCTAAACCGACCCTCCTTCAGCTTAAACCCATTACCCCTTGTCCTGTCACTACACTCCCTGACAAACAGTCCCTCTCCAGCTTTCCTGTAGGCCCCTTCAGGTACTGGAAGGCTGCTATAAGGTCTCCCCGGAGCCTTCTCTTCTCCAGGCTGAACCACCCCAACTCTCGCAACCTGTCTTCACAGGAGAGATGCTCCAAGCCCTCTGATCACCTGTGACCTATTCGACTATGAACACAATTTACAGCTGCAGGAAAATGAATGTAAATTTCTGGTATATGTCCTCTTCTTTGGTTTAGAAAACTGAAGTTTAGGTTTCAGTATGAAGAGCGGAAATCAAAACATTCACTTAATATTGGAAAGGATGAATAGATCGAGGTAAATTTAGACTGTCTAGCTTCATCAGAATTATGTTTCTGTGACTCTGTTTTTGTTTTGATTGATTTTTTTTTTTTAAGTAACCAACCTTGCTGTTACTGTTTTTTTTCAAATGAAGAACCAAAACTACAAAATCATGTTGGGAGAGGGATTGGAATCAAGAAATACACAGCTGAAATAAATATGATTGCATCACTAGGCCAGTTTAACATTCAGGGCTTCCAGATATTGCAACATTCTCAAAATATATTTTCTTTTTAGTACTCCTTCTTCCCTACTGTAGAAGTCATTAAAAATACTATACTTCATAAGAACATCAGCTTAGTGCATTTTACAGTATCTCATTCTGTTGAAATGCTCTGCTGAGATTTTATTACTGACATTAAAAGAATTAAATGTCAATTTAGTAACATTAACTGCTTCTGTGAAAAATTTAATGGACTGCACAATCAATTAGAAATTGACGTTTTAATGTCTCCCTCCAGTTCTCCTCTGCGGACACTTACACCGATGCCATAAGCATCATTCCTCTATCACCCTCTCTCTCATGGTCCCAGCTCCCTGTGGACATGCTGGCTGTTCTACTGCCATCCCAGTGAACTGCAGACGCAGCCCCCTCTTTCTGGTTAAGCTCCCCTGACCAAAAGCTGATGGGGAACAGCAGTAAACACATAAGCCACTTTGTCTGCTGCTGCAAGAGCAGTCACCATTCCCCAAAGTCTATTTGCATTAATTGTTTATGATCTACCTCATATACTATTGTATATGACCATTTGTGTTTGGATACAAGGGCTCCTGCTGTGAACATACCCCGCCGAGCACACTGCACCCCAGTGCCAGGAACTTCATCCATTCCACCTCCTCGCCGAAATCATCCAACTGGAGGATAGCTTTCAGTTGCTCCTCTGGCAAGCACAAGTGCTTCCATTTTTCCTTCAGTTCTGCAACACTCACCGTGCCTTTGGGAGAAAGCTTTAAACGAAATTGTGGTACCACAGTAAGAACTCTGAAACCCAGAATGAAGCTAAGAATACAGTCTCTCCCCAAAATACCTCAAATACTTGACAGTCAGTCTCCCCAACCATCCCCAAAACATTAGCTAGCATCCTCGATAGCATTGTGCATTTGATAAAGGCCAGTTTGTACCTGTTTGTGCAGGATTTTAAGCAGTCCTGGGGTCAAACCAGCACCTGTTTTCTCTGTTGCTAAAGGCATTTCAATCCTCTCCTTCACAGGAGGGGGCTCGCCTTTCGACAACGCTGAAAAATACCTAAGTGAATGGGAAGAGCAATACACTTCAATGCCCATGGCCATTACACCTGCACAGAAGTAAACGCTCTTACGGTTCAGGGAATGAATCTGCACGCTCCTGGGCAGGGGCGGCAGCACTCGGCAAGCTGCCCGCATGCATGACTCCCATCTCCCCGTGATCATCATACTTACGCAGCTGCCCACTGCAAAACATCATGAGGTTGCGTCCTAATAGCAGCTTTAGTAAATTGCTTCAGAATATCAGGTAGCTCAGGGGGGATTTTGATCTGCTGAGCACAAAACATGGTTTCTGGAAGAGGCATGGTCCGTTCACATTCAGTTACAAGGAGCTGAAAGAAATAATAATGAAACAACAGTTCACAGATGCAGAATGTGAATGAAAAACTCTGTGTGCACATAGGGGCCAACAGTGCTCGTACCCAAACTCCCTCCTGTCCTACTCGACAGCTGGAGAACTGGCGGGCTCAGAAGGGTAAACAGACGAGCACTGCACCTCCCTAAAAAACTTGAACGTGATGGCAACACCAAGTAAAAGGCTGGAGCTCCGACACCAACCACAGCTCCAGGTAAGGAGAACTACTACTTTCACAGGTATCTTCAGATAGTCTTACACTGATTTTTCTCCTCAAACTTACCACAATACGAATTTGTAAAACAGGTAGTCCAGACAAGTCAGACCACACCTGCCAAGCTTGCTATGTTGACACTGCTCACTACTGCACGCCAAGAGCCCTGTCATTTTTGTAAGGAAGCTAGAGTACACAGATTATCAAGTTTCTACTATGTTTATGTGTTCAAAAAACTGTAGCAAGAAGTTACTAATTTGTGCTCCCAGGCAGACTTTACATCAAAAAATTACATTAACAAACAAAACATTCGTGTGCGCTGCAATTACGCATTGCACTTTGCTCATACAGCTCTACAGGTAGGTTCCTCTCATTCAGGATGAAACTTATTTATTGCAAGGAATCCTGTTCCCCAGGAGCCAAAAGAAGGGACAGACATCGCTTATTGTATGATCCTTCTCCCATTATAGCAATGGAGCACATTTGGTGAGAAATCTGGGCACTCTCCTTATCATTTCAAGGACTACAGCCTACTTAAGTTGATCTAGCAACAGGAGCTGAAAACATGTCAGCTATTTGCAGACGGGAAGAGCAGTGAAAGCAAAGGCATCAAGAAAGGAATCAATGTAACAGCTTCCTTTATCCCTTTTTTTTTTTATTTTCAATTTTTAAGATGAAAATAAGAGTATCTGGCAGGTGGCTTTCTCCCCCTATCATGTGAA